GTGAGATAACTATATATCTTCCTGATGAAATAACTGACATTCCCATAATAAATGGTGTGAGTAGGTTCTGCTTAATGTCCTAGTTAATGTATTATTTTATTTATTTATTTAACATGAAGTGAATGGACTTAAGTTTGTTGCAAAGCTCAATCGGGTTCTTACTTTCTTATGTGGCGTTTCAGGCCGAGGAGTGGGTTCCACTTATTGTTCGCGTCGATTTCATTCTAGAAAAACCGAAAGCTGGAGTTCATTTTAAACTTCCTGATGATGATAAGCAAAAATATAAATCTCAGGTACCAATTTACAATAATGGTTTCTATCCTAATCCTCTTTGATAATTCTCTTTGATAATCCTCTTTGATAATCCTCTTTGATAATCCTCTTTGATAATCCTCTTTGATAATCCTCTTTGATAATTCTCCTTGATAATTCTCCTTGATAATTGTCTTGCTTTATTTACCTATACCTTATATATTATTTAAGTGCGATCCATACATGTTCACCATTAATCGTCCATTGCCTGGTGCAACAAGGTGTTGGCTTCCATGTCTTGATCGCATTCGTGATCGTTGTAGTTGGGACTTCTTTATAACTGTAACAGATATAGAAGGCTTCAATTCGATTATGGTAGTTTGTAGTGGGAATCTTGTTAAAATGGTAAATATGATCTGCGATAATTATTCTATAAAATGAATTGATACATAATTTACTTGTTTTATTTTTATTTTGACTCGTCAGACAAATTCTCCGACTTCTCCAAATCAAAGGACATTTCATTATAATCAACCAGTCGCAATTCCAGCACAATATATTGGTGTAGTGTGTGGTCCTTTCGTTGACCCATTTGTGCTGAATTATCCTCTTGAAGCGCTTCCTCCTAATAGACCAAAGATAATTGCCTATATTTCTGAAGAATGGCAGCACTGGTTATTACCTACTTTATACCCTGATGGTGATGATGAACCTACAGAAGATACTTACTGGCTACATCGAGTATGTTGAAATTTGTACTAGTTTTTTGCTTTTTAATAGTCCAATCTAAAAAAGAATTTTGTTACTTACATTAACAAGTTTATTGTAGGCAATGGATTATTTCATTGAAGAATATTCTCATTTTAATTTACACCCTGAATTTGATAAAAATAATCCAACTGTAAAACCCGGAAGCTTTCCATTCAAGCGATTTCAAATAGTTTTCGTTGACCACTCTTACTCCGAAGTAAATGTATGTGCTGGACTTTTAATATGTCGGTATGTACATTGGTCTATTTGTAACTTTGTAAATTTAAATCCTTGATATTTCATTGCTTAATTTGTTAATTTGTCGCAATCCTACATTAGTTTGAACATATTATACAATAAGTGTATTATTGATCAAAGAGAGAAGACAAGGCGTGCTTTAATAGCTGCATTGGCACAGCAGTGGTTTGGAATATTTATTCCTCCTTATTCATGGTAAAATATTTATTATTATTATTATTATTATTATTAATTATTATAAATTCGTAATTAAAATGTTTAACAATAAATTAGGCGTGATTATTGGCTTGCAGGTGGATTGTCCAATTTCTGGACAAGCATGTATTTTCAAAAAATATATGGGATTCCAGATTCACGCTACCAGCGTAAAAAGGTTGGTTTCTCTAGATCTTACCGTTTAAAATATATATTATTGTGCAAATGTCAACATTAGACTAAAATCTTGTATTATTTTTAGGACATTGAACTCGTTTGTGAGCTTGATGTTAACCGTCATCCTTTATGCACGCTAGACATCTCTTTACCATTTCAATCAAAGGATATAGAATTTATAAACCTCAAAGCATCACTTGTTCTTTGGATGCTTAATAAACGTTTAACCTTTCTTGATTATCGTCGTGGAATCCCAGGAATAATCTACCTTATTCTCAATGGGGCCAAAGAAGATGTGCAAAAGGGCAAACGGCCGGGCTTTTTACATACGGAGGAATTTCTTGAGATGTGCAAAAGTGTAATTCGACAAGAACTCCGTAACGAAGTTAAAAAATTCGAGAAACAATGGATATATGGTTCTGGTTGTCCAAAATTCAAAATACGTGCAACCTTCAATCGAAAAAAATTGGCTGTCGAGTTTAAATTCGAACAGGAAAATACTAATGCTTCAAGTTCTGATGGTGCGAGCGGATTGCAATCAACACATACTCCTCGATTTACGGTAGCTCATACTTTTTTTTTTTTTTTTTTTAATTGATTCATGATTAAAGATTTAATATTAAATTTCAACTATGTTAATAGGGTCATATGGATATTGCAATTAAAGAACCTGATGGATTGGAATATATACATACGATATATATCCAAGAAAAGCGTGAATCTCATTCTCTTTTTTATCACACTAAATATAAACGATCGAAACTCAACATCAGACCACACATGCGCCGTGAAAAAGGTAATTTAGAAGCTCATCCACCATCTAGTGTATTCGATGAAGACCAAAGAGATTTCCCATTACAATGGGGGATGGATCCTGAATCTGATTCGGAAGACCTCCCAGATTGGAAAATACAAGAATGGGTTCAGGAATATCATGCAACTAGGTTTGTTATTTGTATTTCAATATTCCTATATAAATTCCTAGTTTGACACTTTGCTATAATTAGTGATCAATGGGAATGGATTCGAGTTGATGATGCATTTAGTTGGATTGCAATCATTGATTTCGAACAAGACGATTATATGTGGGCTGCGCTGTTGGAATCCTCACGTGATGTAATTGCCCATTATGAGGTTCGTATATTATTCATATTTATGTCAGATAATTGAAATGCTGAATTAAATCTAATTCGTATGACAGGCTATAAAAGCATTATCTAAAAAACCATCTCGTGCGTGTTCGACTACTCTTATGCGAACAATCCGTGATTGGCGATTCTATTACAGGATTCGAATGGATGCGGCTCTTGCAATGGCTAAAGTCAGTATATAATTTGTAATCATATAAAAATTTAAATTAAAAAAATTTTAATTCATTAATTCACATTTGTTTACAAAATAATCAGTGTGCGACTAGTGATTTAGACTTTATTGGTATCAGTCAATTAATGAAAATATATGAAACCGATTATTGCGAACGTCGGATTGAAGGAGGATTCTTTCCCAAGATAAATGATTTTAGTGATTGGGAGGAATATTATGTTCAAAGGGTTGAGTATACTTCTAGTTCTCCTTAAGCTAATATCCAAACTATTTAACTAATATCGAATTGATGCTTTAATCAGACAATACCTTATGCTTTATCATGCGCTCGAGATTCGGGAAATACTCCATCGCATGTAAAAGAATATTTACTCTATCTTTTGAGCTGGAACGATAACCAAACAAATATGGTGTGCATTTATTTATTTATTTTTTTTTGTTGGGCAGAAAGATTTAATATTATTCACGACTTTAACTATCAATTTGATTCTAGTATTCCGATGATTATTTCGTCGCTAATCTCATTGAATCATTGGGAAATACTTTTATTCCAGATGATGATCAAGTACAAGAAGGATCTGCTGATGTGGAAGTCTTTGATTTTGCTTCCCAATCTCGAGACCACTTGGAAGAGACTTTGGAAACATTAGAGAGATATTTTAGTCGACATGAACTGTTCGGTTCATATCAAGCATTAATTGTTGTAGCAATTATTAAGGTAGCGTCTATTAACTACCGTTTTAATATTTCCATTTACTTTATTAAACATGCATATATTGTTAACTATAGGTTCGCATGCATCTTATGCTAAACCAATTAATCGCAGTGGATGGTAGAGAATTTGTTCTTCATGCACGGTTAGTATAATTTACTATTATTATGATTGTTAAAACTTTGCCACTTATTATATCTCTAATTTATGCAGATATGGTAATTATGTTGGAGTTCGTATTACTGCCTTGGAAGCATTAATTGCGTTGGATTTACACCAAAAACCAGAAGTTGCAAAATTTTTCGATTTTCTTGTTGAAAAAGATTCTGATTTGGCAGTCAGACGTTTTCTTAATGCTAAGTTCAGAGAAGATAGAGGACCATGGTGTTGGAATTCCCCTAGAAAAATTAGATCGGTACCAACCTTAATAGTTCGTTATAATCGAACTACTCATCTTGGAGCTTCTCATAAACTTTCTGGACCAATTTATCAGTCTGCTCCTCCTAATCCTATAATTTCTTCTGCTGGCAAAAAAGGTACGGTTATATCTTCTAAAAAACACGTAACAGGTTCATGATACTGTACAACAAATTTCAGGGACCAGCATATCTGAGATGAATTCCTCTCAATATTTAGGAATGCACGAGCAGAATTCAAAAACATTAAGGCTTAAAAAGTCTCGTGAATCCTCTCAAAAATCATCTGACACGATACAGAAATTTTATTCGCATATTAATAATGATCCTACATCAATAGGAATAGCAGGTGCCAAGAATGTTGAGTCAGAATTAGAGTCTGTTACTCCACCTAATAAGGTTATTTTAAACGTTCAATCAAGAATGAAGACAAATGAGAGTCATGAATTTAACTCATTAGTCTCTGAAAACGGTCAATTCACCCAAACTGACAATCAAAAAATATCATCACCTTTTCAAGATCATGCAATAGCAGAGAGTTCAAATCAAGTCCAATTTGATGAAAATTCAATTCCACGGTCCTTAGCACAAAATCTTCGTAGTCAGAAAAAGTTAATAAGTAAAGCATCACATTTACCTTTATCGGAATCAGAGGATTTATCTTTGTCTGAAGAGGACATGCTAATTAAGAGCAAAAAAAGGGAAGGATCCGAATATGTAGTTGAATCGCGTAGTAAGAAACAGAAAAAAAAGAAATATAAATGATTCAATAATTGTAAATGATCTATTTAAATCTGTTATACGGCTAGATACTGCAATGATCTATTTGTGTGGATATTAAATTGTAAATACTTGATTTTGTTATTAGTATCTTTAGACTTCATGTATAATTAGAAACACTTAAATACTAATACCATCTGATTCGAAGATTTAATTTTTAATAAATTGAGTAATAAAATTTTTCAAGGGCAATCAAATTTTTGATCTCTTTTTTTTATTCTGAACCGTGTTATGTTATATCTATTCAGTGGTTTTTAAAATTTGAGTTTCAACTTAATATATACTTCAAAGCAATTTTTATCTGTAAAATACTAATCATATACCTTGTCGAATGAAAGCCCCTAGCTGTCCCACAAAATTTTTTCCACCCCTTGTAATAACGACCAATCGAATTTCAGGATCAGGTGT